TAGTGCAGAGAATGAAGCAGATTCTATTATAGAGCCCATTGCCTGTATCAATCACTCTGGGCACAGACAATGCATGACTAAAAGCAAAGTTTCCATCCTACTCCCAACAGTATTCATTCATTGTAAACTCATATAAAAAGTAATTAACACCACTTGTGTCTGTAGGAGTTGGAACGCATTCAAAATACTGAGGAACAGAAAGAGAAAGAGATGAGGCAAATTCGATTTCAAACTATCAAGATGAAGAATAAACTGAAGTATTATGAGTACCAGCTGAAAGCGAAGGAGGAGCTGGCAGGTGGATTAAACCTGATTGACTATGAGCAGCTGAAAATCGAGAACCAGTCTTACGGTGAGAAAATTGAGGAGCGCAATGAGGTAAGCAGGAAGAGAGCAGTCATTGTCTGCCTCCAGCTGGATGGACCATTTAAATTGCTATTGCAAAACGCTTGGATCAATAAACTCCTTAATGAATAAAAACCAAGTTCCTGCCCATTGCAACACTAGGCCATCTGGGCGTCAAAGGTAGTTTCCTAATTGAAGTGTCAGTTGATCTCAGCCTGACCTTTGGTTTGAGGAGGAGAAGCAAAATCTGCCTGAATTTCCACTGTCCATGAGCTGTCTTTGTCAACATCAGATGGGGGTCAGGATTGGGTTCAGTTGTGACTTTGTTTTCCACCTGCAAACCATCTACTCACACTCACTATTCAAGCTCACCTTTGAAACATGGCCAGGTGAACAGAAGCAGGTGCCAGACAACAAGGGTTAACAAACTTAGGGAGAGAGGAAACAGAGCATAAAGGAACATTTAATGTTGTAAAGGAATGTAAATGTACAGATTGATATAAACGGGCTGGTCAGATGGACTGAACAGTGGCAAATGGAATTTAATCCTGAGGTGATACATTTGGAAGGACTAACAAGACAAGTGAGTCCACATTGAGTGACAGGACCCTTGGAAGTCCAGAGAATCATAGGGACCTTGGTGTGTATGTCCATAGATCCTTGAAGGCAGAGGACAGGTATACAAGATGGTTAAAGGGCCTATGGGATCCTTGCCTTTATTGGTCAAGGCATAGAATACAAGAGGACTGGTGTTATGATGGAGTTGTATAAGACATTAGTTCGGCCACAGCTGGAACAGAATGTATCGTCTGGTTTCCACACTTATAGGAGTGATATGATTGCACTAGACAGGTTGTAGAAGATAGTCACCAGGATATGCTGGGATGGATCATTTCAGCGATGAAGAGAGTCTGGACAGGCTGGGGTTGTTTTCCTTACAGCAGGGGAGGCTGAGGAGAAATATGATGGATATATACAAAGTTCTAAATAGCATAGTCAGGGTACATAGGGAGGACCATTTCCCTTGGGTAGAGGGTATAATTCCCAAAGGGCACAGTTTAAGGTATGGATCAGGAGGTTTAGCGGGAATGTGGGGAAAGTTTTCACTGGAATTCACTGTCTGAAAGGCTGATAGAGGCAGGAACCCTCATAACATTTAAGACGTATTTAGATGAGCACTTGAAATGCCATTGCAGACAGGGCTATGGACCGAGTGCTGGAAAATGTGATTAGAATAGATGGATGTTTAATGGCCAGTATGGACATCACGGACCGAAGGGGCTGTTTCTGTGCTGTAAAAAAACAACTCTGACTCTTAAGTATTGGATTAAGAGTGAAACTCCACTGGTTTTGGCTCTGTTCCTTTTTTTGTGTTCTTAAAAGTTCTAATGCTAAGGCTCATTTCCAGAGCGACAGTATTCCAGCCTGGAAAACAGGAGGGAAAGTAAAAGGTATTTTTTCAACAGCATGTTTTTTTGGTAACAGATGCCAGACTTGCATTATGTAAAATAAAGTTTCAGCAGTACTGTCTAGATAAAGATGGCTCCTATCATTAAAAAGAGAGATGCAGCAACGAAGGTGCTGCATTTCCTCCAGGAGTGAAACCTAATTTGTCAGGAGGACAGGAATTTGGGCAGGATGAGGTCTGCACCGGCCCATCAAGAGCTAGTGGACTTGAGACCTGGGATGTAGGGAACTTGTGTCCATTATGTACGAACCCTGACTTGGACACCCTGACTTTATATACCACAAATAAACCAAATTAGAGTAATCTTTAGATTGTATTTAACTTCAAATGCTGCCTATAATCCTGGAACAGTGCAGTACACTCTGTGTGTAAAGATTAAATGGAAAACAAAATACACACCTTGATGCAAGGATTCCACTATGACTGGCACAGGACAATATAATCTGTGTCAGAGGAGCAGATTAGGCCAACATTGTTGTTGCTGATGCTATCCATGATTTGCTCCTGGTAGAAGTATGTTCTGTCACTAACTCTAACCCATTGCCAGCTGGTACCTTCTCCAACATAAGAGGGAAGGGGAAAGTTGGAAAACTAAATGAAGTATGGAAACATTTGGATGTAAGCTGGAGTTCAAATCTGGAAGTGTCACATCGTGAGACAACTGTTTTATGTTTTACTTTGCTTTTAAATGGACTTTCAGAGCAATGTATTCATTTACAGGAAGTCACAAAGATGCGGAAGAAGATTGCAGTTACCATTGGTGTGATGACCCACATCAAGGAGAAGCTGGAGTATGTGGAGGCTGAGAATATAGAGAAGAAAACCCAGCTCATGGACCTTGAGGCCATCGTGGCCCAGGTATCAGGATGGGGGTGGACGGGGGCCACTGGGGAGGTGTTGAGTGTAGGTACTTCAGGGTGGGGGTTGTGGGTAAGTGAGGTACTGTGGGTGTGGGGGCACAGTGGGGGCATTGGGGCACAGTGAAAAGTGGTACTGGGGTGGGGGAACCAGTGGCAAGGAATGGGCAGGCCAAGAGTGTTCAGTGGCCTACTCCTGCTCCTGAGTTCTATGTTCCAATATGGAATGAGCATTGTCGGTGATAGAACATCGTGAAAACATGAGTTTGTCTTGCAGTACATATGGGGATTGTTTTTGTTGTAAATTGGAAGTAAGGTGGACAATGGGATCAGGCACCACTGAGCATTGACTACTGTTCTTCTAGACAGAAGCTTGTATCTGAGCCCTTTGATACAAGGAGACGCCATTAAAATGTATATCTCATGTCAGAGCATGAACTGAACTGAATCAGCTGCCCAGAGCAGAATGGAAAAAATACATTTGGCATCCAAAATGTTTACCCAATGGGTACAACCTGGCTCCAAAGCACCATTAGCAGAGACACACACTGAAAGATTGAGAATTACAGCTTTGCTTTTTTACCTGTCTGAACAGTTCGCTCCAGAGGAAGAATATTGGAAATAAAAACAGAAAACGCTGGAAATACACAGCAGGTCTGGCAGCATCTGAGAGGAGAGGGAAATAGAGTAACATTTCAAATCAATGAGCTTTCACCAGAATTGGGAATTTGATGAAGAGCCATTGACCTGACACATTTAACTCAAGTTTCTCTTCAACAATGCTGCCTGACCTACTGAACATGTCCAGCATTTTCAGTGTTTATTGTGGATTTCCAGCATCTGCAGTATTTTGCTTCTGTTTTAGAGGGAAGCTAGGAATAGACTACTTCCATGTCAGCATCAAGCACTCCCTGGATAGGTACAGCTGGTGTGATGGAAAGTCAAATTCCCTCATTCTGCTCCAACAATATTCCTCTGGTTCAACCTCAGTACAGGCTGACATGTTATTCCACTTGTAGGAAATTTCCCAGAGAATGTGGCACTCATTACCACAGGTTGGGGTTGATGTGAATAGCAGAAGTATATTTAAGTTTCATAAACACGAGGGATAAATACAGAATGGGACAAATAGAAGGAAATGCTGAAAGATGGTGTGAAGTACATGAAGGAATCTCATGTGATCATAGACTGATTGGGCCACATGCCCTTCCTGTTTGTAAACTTTGCATAATTATCTCTGCCACTGAATGTGAGTGGAGCCAACGTTCTTACCCCTATTTATTAGTCTGTTTGTCTGCAAAGAATATAGCTCAAAAATTATTGGGTGGATTTCAGTGAAATTTAATACACAGATTAGGATATATGGGCCAAGGAAGAGCTTATTACTGTTTGCAAAGATGCAGAGCTGGAATTCACTAAAAAACCACATTGAGTTGAAAGATTGCAAATTGAGGCTTTTTAAAAGAAGATTAAAGATGTCTTGGTGGAACTTGTCAAGGTCATCAAAATATGAACAGAGTTTTCAGAGCACATGGCTGGATTTAGATTGACCTGAAACCTCCCCAGTGAGATAAATGCTCTTAGTAAAATTATTTCTTGTTTCAGCTTTGAGGTTTCAGAGGATCAACCAGTGAAGGAAAGTCTCAAGGAACAGCTGCCCAATTGTCACTTGTTGTAAATGTGATTGCTTTTCAGGAAGTTTTAATAATCCTTTTATCTTGAATATGTTAATATCTGTGATAAAATCAAAGTCAATGCTAGTCCAGTCATATTTCAGCTTGAATGAAAAGGAAAAGGTCTGCATTTCTATAGCATCTTCCATGAGTACTGGATATCCAAGAGTTCTTTGCAGCTAATACAGAACTCTTGAAGTGTAATTGTTTGAAACATAGGAAACACTGCTTCAGTATGAACCGGTTTGGGCAAAGATCAGACCTAGTAATTTTGGGTAGTTTTTTTTCAATATTACCTTTGATTTTTGATTTTGTGGCGTGGCCTCGCCTGCTGTGACTCTATGGCTCTATTTGTGTTTATTACAGAAACGGGAAATCCTGACAAAAACCAAACAAGCACGGGACAGAGTCCGGGCAGCCAATTTCAAACTGAAGGAGAAGTGTGGCCTCCTGTGCAACAAAGTGCTGCTTCGTGACTATGAGGATAATGTAGACACCAGTGATAGACTGCAGCAAAAGCTGGAGGTACTGAAACGGCAGCACGCTGATCTGACACTCGACTCCTATGGTATCAAGAAGAAAATTGAGTGGGTGAAGATGGGACAGTTACAGACTCAGTAACAGCCCCTTCAGGGAAGCTTTTCCATTTTATTCTGTTATTATAAATATTAAATCAGCCGGCAATCACACATTTGTTTTTCCTTTTGTTGCAGCAAGAAACAGACAATGGGGCAGCTTGTATTGATGTGGTAAGCCATGAGATGAGCACAGCTACAAGTGATCAAACTCTCACCATGCTCTGATTTGTAGACAGGGAAACAAATAACACAAATAACATCCAATCTACAGTTTTCTAATCTTATTATCTGGCTCAAACCCAGCATGAAATGTAAAGCTCATTCTTAAACTTCAGTAGATGTGAATGTGATTTCTTAACAGAGTGCTCATTCCTATTTAAGTATAGTTACTGAATCAACTCATTGACAAATTATAATCTACCTTTCCCATCTTACAGAAGAGAATCTAAATTAACAGTTTTACAGATTAAATACAGATGATGATGCAAAGATTAACTTTTTACATTAGCTATAAGTAGCAGTTAACCACACAACTAAATGTCACATAAGCAACATGAACATATTTAAACTAAAAGCACTCTTCACAAAAGTTGTCTAAAAACTGACAGTGACATTTAATATTCTGGCTGATGGATTTGAACAGGAATGTGAATTACTGTACACAGTAGCTCTAATAGTAATCCAGCTTCATCTGCTTCACTGTAGTTGCTGTATCAGCTGAAATGTAGGCCAGTCACTGATGCCTATGTAGCATTTCCCAGTATCAGACGATACCATACTGAGCCAGTTCATGCAGCTCCAAGTGGCTGAATGCCTCCCAAGGACAGATCACCGTGATATCTGTAAAAAATAGAGGGTCTATTAAATGGTCTTTTCTATCAATTTCTCAGTGTTGATTTTTGAAAGCACCAACTCTGAGGCACAGGGCTCCCTAAGTGCCTTGTCTATGTGGTTATTAAACATAGTTGTGTGCAAGTTCAGCACTCACTGCACCTATAGAGTGAGTGTGAGATCAGATTAAAATTCAGTGCTTTTGAGTGAGTGGTTAGGAATGATTTCTTTACATACCTGTGCCAAGACCCTCCATGCCAGGAATATCATCTCCAAATCTGCAGAAGAATGAGAATCAGTGTCTGAAACCCTACTTAGCACAAAGATGTTCAATACAACATCACATTGCAAAAATATATGCATTATTTTCATAAATTATAAAGATTGAGCTCATTCTACAACATATTTGTGTGATGTTCCTTTGTCTGTTGGATGAGTTCCCTCCTCTGGTGAAATAATAGGCAGAATAATGCCATGCAGACACTTTAAATATTAGTCCACTGATATTGCAATCTTTTCCAGATTAATGGCTCTATCAGTGTTTGGTGTTTAAATTAATAGAGTTAGATTTTTCTTTCAATGCTAGAAATTGGAATCCTTCACTGTCCCACTTTATGGGAAAATGTGGAAACAATGCTTCTAACACTAGTCCATTTCCTTGTGGTGGGGTTTTACTGCTGGCATTAACCCAGTTTCCCTTTCCCTTAAAGTAGCTGACAGAAAGGTTCGGTCTGAGCCGGAAATATTGGCAGGACAATGGTCTGATTGCAGTTAAGAAACTACAGTGACACTATGTTACAAACAGTTAATATCACAGTTTATAGCTCTTGCTAGGCAGATGCAACCCTGACCTCTGAATGGAACAGAGGACAAGTGAATTCATTCCCATTTTAGTATTAATGCTAAATTTACAATTAATGGTTAGTAGAATGACAGAAAAATGTTAAAACAGTAATTTTAAGGAAAATATTATTGGTTTTGTATGGGGTTATGAATAAGGATAGTGGGAGAGTTTGAATGGCCGGGTTTCTGTTCCCTATGTCTATGATTTGCACCTTTCTGTTCTACACCAGAGAAGTTGATGAAATAGATGGGCAGTCATTTCCAGACAGCCCACAGCTTCAAAACCTGCTTTAATTGAATTGGAGGCACCAAGTAGAGTGCAGAATATGGGAAAGAAGCAATGTTCACCAATGCCCCTGTATGGAGGAAGCTGTAACCTACTCGCTACTGGTTCACAGGTAGGGACGCTTTCAGTTCCACAGTTAATGGGGTTAAAGAGACTCTGCCCAGGTTAATGATGGCTGTCTCTCAGCCATGGGCAACCCTTGAACAGACTCATTCTATCAGTCTGCTCACAGGGATTGGGCGTGGAAGGCTGCCTCCTGTGTGTGTGTGTGTGTGTGTGAGAGAGAGTGGGAGAGTGTGTATGTGTCTGCGTGAGAGAGAGAGCGTATGTGTATGTGTGTGAGTGTCATAGAATCATAGAATCCCTACAGTGTGGAAACAGGCCCTTCGGCCCAACATGTCCACACCGATACAAAGAGCATCCCACCCAGACCTATCCCCCTAATCTACACATCCCGGAACACTGCGGGCAATTTAGCATGGCCAATCCACATAATCTGCACATCTTTTTGGACTGTGGGAGGAAAGCCACGCAGACACGGGGAGAACATGCAAACTCCACACAGACAGTCGCCCAACAGTGGAATCGAACCCGGGTCCTTGGTGCTGTGAGTGAGCAGTGCTAACCACTGAGCCTGTGTGTGTGTGTGTGAGAGAGAGAGAGAGTGTGTGTGTGAGAGAGAGAGTGTGTGAGTGTGAGTAGAGAGGAGAAGATCCCAGTGTCATCCACATTAAAAACTCCAGCGAAACAGTTCTCAGACCCTTGGAGCCCAGCGCTCAATCTGCGATTTAAAATCTCTCCATTATACCCTTTCACGCCTGCTTTGGGAGGTTTGCTCTTGAACTGTCGAGTTGCTCTTTGTTTGAACTTTGGTGGCCCCTTTCTAGGGGACGTGGCACCTCCAGAAATATTAGTTGGTGAAATATTCATTTCCGTGGACCGGAGTTACTGAGAGAGGAAGTGCTGGTCCCAGAGCTCACTGTAAGACAAAATATCACAGTTACAACCAAAGATTCTGAACACAGCATCCCTGGATAGAAAGGGAGGAATTGTCTGTTATTTATTTGTGGAACATAGGGGCATGTAGCAGCTACTGTCTAATTCCTTCAGTAGTTACAACACCAGACAGTTTATTTACAATTTACAAAACTGTCAAGTCAAGAACAGCTTCCCACAATGCCCATGAAATTTAACAGCACAGCATTGCCAAAGAAGTGCAGTTCGACCTTGTGCAGTCACCTCAGCTGCAGTGGACCCTGACCTTCTGACAAAATAAATCAATGGTGCGGCAACGTCTGGAGAGAGCCTTGACTCCACGGTAGCATTCTCGCGCAGAGTATGGAATCCATTCCCGACATCAGACATTGGGCAGGAGAGGTTTGATTCCTGGACACTGGGCTGATAGCCAGCAATGTCAGGAAGCCCATCTGTCTCTGGCACTATAACACTCCCAGCAAAGTGGTATTTTTCTCCTCACTGTCCTACTTTAATAAAACCCAATGCTGAGAGAATTAAACTGTGAAATGACATTTCCACGTCCCACAGCCCCTCATTATGTTGGAAATGGACAGATTGCTTTGTTTAAGATTCCTCTGACAGATGACATTGAATCCTCTTACAACATAAGCTAAGTACTTGAATTGGGCTTAGCCCAGTTGATCCCAGTGATATCTTGCACTGGTTCTTTCCCATTTTGCTATATTTATCAAGATGGGTCTCTGGACAAATAGCAACATCACAATATTAAAGGGAGTGTGTTCGGGAGAGAAGTTCAGTGGAATATCTCCTCATTTGCCAGCATGGACTGTTGAACCAATTTTTCAAAAGAGCTTCACAGTAAAATGATCAAACAAAAATCACCATGATCCAGAAGATGAGGGTCCTGGGGATAGGGATGGAAAGTTGGCTAGGAAGTTGTGTTATGGGGGGCGGGGGGAGGTGGGGGCAGTTAAAGGACAGAGAGATGGAAAGAAGAAAGGTTTGGGTGGGATTTTAGTGTCAAGATAGCTGGGGTCAGGTCAATAATGGAGTGAGGGGAACAAGTCCATATAAGCTGATTTTAAAAGAAAGACATGATTTTGGAGGATTGTATGCTGGAGATGTTTACACAAATGCAATTTGTGAGCACCTTGGGTGAAGGAGAAAACATGATGGTCAGTAAAAAGTCACCTGTTACATTACACACTTGGGATGTTTGCTGAAGGGAAAGAAGTTAATATCAGGCAGTGAATGTATTTGGCTACTTTGAAAAGATTAATTTCCCTCTTGAGACACTGACTAAGATAGAAACACACAGACAGAAAAACATACACCTACACAGAGACAGAGAAATACACACACACACATACATCATTTCTCTTATTAAAATATTAAACGACTAGATACATAAACTTCTGGCTGGAAAAATATCATAAATCCCTCTCTATAAAACACTGTTTTTTGAGAAGCTCTCAATCTAGTGCATTTATTTACTTTATTGCATGTTCACATGTAGTACGTCTCTGTTTAATCGTTTGCTTATAATGGTGCTTACAGATTATATGGCAGATTCCATCCCTCGTAAACTGCTTGAATATAAACTGACAACTAACTCCAGTTTATGTTGATACTACAAGCTGATTTTCTCAGGGAAGCAATCTCTAAAAATACCAATGAAGGTAGAGCACACAGGAAAATATGAGGCATCCTTCACCCCAAATCCACCTCACACTCAATGACAAAGGACAAGGCTCCACAGAATGTTGGAGAAAAGATTATGATGTTCAAAACATGTTATAATCTGCGTAGATGTTATTTTTCACAGGACCCTCTAGTCTATTTGCATCTTTATCTCATTCAGCACACCCTTTAATGATCATAAGGACATAAGCACTAGGATCAGGAGTTAGCCATTCAGCCCCTCCAGCCTACTCTACCATTTCATATGATCGTGGCTGATCTCATCTTGGCCTCAACTCCACCCTCCATAACTCTTCAACCCATTACTGATTAAAAATCTGTCTATCTCCTTCTTAAATTTACTCAATATACAAGCATCCAATATCCTCTAAAGTTATGAATGCCACACGTTCATAACTCTTAGAGAAATAATTTCTCCTCATCTCTTTTAAATCTGATTTCCCTTATCCTAAAATGATTCCTTTTTTTTATTCATTCATGGATGAGGGTGTTTCTGACTAGGCAGTATTTATTGCCCATCCCTAATTGCCCAGAGGACAGTTAAGCGTCAACCACATTGCTGTTGGTGTGGAATCACATGTAGGTCACACCAGGTAAGGATGGCAGTTTCCTTCCCTAAAGGACACTAGTGAACCAGATGGGTATTTTCCTGAGAATGGGTTTGGTGGTCATCATTAGACTCTTATTTCAAGATTATTATTGAATTCAAATTCCATCATCTGCCGTGGCAGGATTCAAACCCAGGTTCCCAGAACATTATCTGGTTCTCTGGATTAACAGTGTAGTGACCATACCATTAGGCTATCACCTCCCCCTGAGGGGGTGAATTCTATTCTGTATTTTTGTCCATATTCAGTTTTTGTCCATATTTTAATGTTCCTCCTTTAGAAGCAAGTATCTAATTCCATTTTCCTGGCTGATCTCAGCCTGGGGCCATTGAATTTTAAACACAGAAACTATAAACCAAAAAACAGTGCAGAGAGCACACACTAAATTCACATTGACACAGAATTAATCCCATGATCACTTCATCATTCACATAACGCTTATCTGGATATGGTAATGTTACCAGCAATGATAGGAAGTTTAAAAAATGCATTAAAGGGGCTCTGGTAATGCAGTGCTAGTGTACCTACCTTTGAGCCAGGAGGCCTGGGTTCAAGTCTGAGCTGCTCCAGAGGTGTGTAATTACATCTCAGAAAAGGTTGATGACAAAATAAATGTGAAGCATCAAAGGGGTGTGATTACATAAACAATCTGATGTCAGAGGAACCAAGTGGATGTGTTCTGATTCAATGATACATAAAGGTGAATTATTTGGATCTAGTTTCCCAGCCATTCACATTGCTTCAGATTTCAATTTGAATTGAACAGAATCATCAGCCCCCCCCTCCCAGTTTGCTATAAACAGCATCTTATGACTTTTGTTTTCGTAAAATCGGATTTTACTAATCTTCTCAGAGCTTCCCATCCAGTATCTCAGGAGCACATGTTTTTTAATCGACTCAGTTCCTGATGAACCCAATTAGTAGCAGTGAATCTCAAAAGCTCCTGATGGACAGATACACGTGCGCTGGGATTACTGCTACAGGCTGTCACTTGAAAGTCTGTACACAAAAACACAGAACACATTGGAAATGTTCGGGAAATCAGACATCAGGAGGAATTCCCACCTCCTGATGGACACAGGGCTGATCCATGGAGATTTCAGATAAAGAGACTGTGGGAATGGTGGTGTTCCTCCATTAGCCCTGACAACATCAAGTCCACACTGACCCTCTGAAAAGAGTTCCCTATCCAGACTCACCCACACACCCACCACCTCATCCCCATAACCTTGCATGAGTATTTTTTACCATGGCTACCCCATCGAACCCAGACCGTATCTACTCTTGCATCTTCTGGTCTGATTTCAACATTTGAAAGTCTCAAAATCAGTATTTTATGCTTCATTGTTAGTTGTTGATATTATACAATAAGAGTCAAGTGACCAAATTTAAATCATTAAACGTGTGCTTGCAAAGCTGGGCTGATATTCTAGTGATGCATGGCTGAGCTGAAACTGTCCCTGGAGGGTAGTCGGGTCCCAACACTGGAACCTCAGGGAGAACAATCGCAGACATTTGCAATTCCTCTTGAGATCAGCTGCTCAGGTCCCAGAAAACCAACTAAACTGAAGCCACTTAATCGACAGTCATCAAATACAAATAATATCTGTTCATTAGAAAAATCGTCAGCTTGAGCAGTCCCGCACTGTTGGAGGGTCAATGCTGAGGGAGCGCCGCACTGTAGGGGGGTCAGTGTCGAGGGAGCCCCGCACTGTCGAAGGGTCAGTGCCAAGGGAGCGCCGCACTGTAGTGGGGTCAGTGCCGAGGGAGTGCCGCACTGTCGGAGGGTCAGTGTCGAGGGAGCACCGCACTGTCGGAGGGTCAGTGCCGAGGGAGCGCCGCGCTGTCGGAGGGTCAGTGCTGAGGGAGCACCGCGCTGTCGGATGGTCAGTGCTGAGGGAGTGCTACACTTGGATAGACTGCCTCCTGTATCAATGTTCTGTCTATTTGCCAATATTTCAAATGATACCTGAAAGTTCCTATTCAGAACCCATTCTTTTATTGGAAAGTCGATGAAAATATCACTTTACTTACAAGAAGAGGCGGCAGACAGTATTTGGCCTGTGCTCTCAGTCCCTCCCTCGCTGTGCGTCTCTGAATCACTGATTCCCTCTCTTTAAATCCTCTCTCAATCATGCTGTGCTTTCACAATCCCCTTCCAACTCCCTCATTGGCTGCACCGTGAGCTCTCCATCCCACTTTAGGTCAAGCTTCATGAACCTTTCCAAAGAATGTCCACACCCAGCCCCTCTGCTACTGGACCTGAGCAGGATGCTGTTCTTAAACAGGGAGCTGTGTGAACCCTCACTAACAGCCACTCTGTGCAGCTCAGTCCCTGCACACACACCCCACCCCCCACCCAACACCCCGCCCCGAGGGGATGGACATGGTCTTTCTGTAATGTGCTGGTTTTAGAGATCTGCCCCTGCCTTTTAATGTCTGAGTGTATTGAGAGTGAGGTTTGATTCTTGCCCAATGCAGGGGGTTAGATTAGAGTCACTGGGTTTCTGGGACTAGATCTGAACTTTCTGAAAATGGATATGTGTTTGGAACGAAACAGTCAGACCCAGTGCTGGGAAAACACTGCTCCTGTGTCCAAATGTAACTCCGAATGTTTGATTTGAAACCGGAGACTGCAGAATGACTTTACCAGGAAGTGGCCCACACACTGGAGGGTGAATGATTTGTAAGTCTCAGGATCATCAAGTTCAGTTGGCTCAATGTTAAAGTCACAAAGATTAGCAGCGAAGCTTACAGATGTTCTGACTGTGGTGGGTGTGATACCATAGTGACTTGGTGTTGGAATAGTGTAACACATCCCATACTACAGAAAGTGTGACATGAGTGAGTGTGACACTGATGAGTGTGACATTAGTGAGATAGATGGTGCTGCACTTTGCCAGACATTCCACAAGGTGTGTACACCTGCACTAAAGTGGAAGTGAATTCTGACACTGTCTTATAGTGACCTGTGTAAATGGGGTGAATATTGTGATGGAAATTCTGATAGAGCCTCTGTTAGTCTGTTTACAGAGGATTATTGTAGTGATAATCTCCTTACATTTCACGCAGATTAGTGAGGTGAATCTGCAGCTAATCAGTTTCAACAGGAGGGGACATTACTGATCAGACAAACAGACAATCCCCAGGACATCAAATCATGTGTCTGACAGAGACCCAGGCTCTGAGAGATTGGTTCTTTGGAGATCTGGTCAAGTCACTTTAGAACAGTTGGTAACAAATGCAGAATGATGCTACTCAGGGTTTTTCAATGACGACAACAGCAGTTTTCCTGCGAGGAGATGAGCACTGATTCAGTTTGCCAGAGATCCTGGTGATGTCAGGGCTCACCATTTATCAGAAGCAGAAAATCAGTCTGGAGCAACTTTACTTTCATGGATTGACTGATGAGCAACCCCTCTGACAGTGTAGTTTTCCCTCGTCACTGGACGGAGCTGGTGTTTCAGAGTCAGTGTCTTTCTGGCAGTGGGATCGAAATGGATGACCATCTACTTCACAGCAGCACCTGCGCAACAAACAAACTGGCTCATTCTGATGTTTGAGAAGAACAGGAAATGAGTTTGGATAAATACAAATTACAACAGTTCATGGAAGAGTATAAAGACAGGACTGGAAGGAAATTTCAGAGAGTACAGACACTGAAACAGGCAATAGTCTTTTGATTTGATTTATTATTGTCACATGTACCAAGATACAGTGAAAACTATTGTTTTGCATACTATCCAGACAAATTGTACCTTACATAAGTACATCAGTGTAATAGAACAGAATGCAGAATACAGTGTTACAGCTACAGAGAAGTTGCAGAGAAAGATCAACACTAATTTATGAGAGGTCTGTTCATAAGAACAGCGGGGAAGAAGCTGTTCTTAAATCTGTTGGTATGTGTTTTTAACCTTTTGTATCCTCTGCCTGATGGAAGAGATTATAACCGAGGTAGGAGGGGTTTTTGATTATGTTAGGTAGACAGACAGGAGGCTGGAAGAACACAGCAGGCCAGGCAGCATCTGGAGGAAAGGAGCAGTCATCATTTCGGGTATTACCCTTCTTCAGGACTGGGTGTGGGGGTAGGGGGAGCTGCAGATAAAGAGATGGGGGGTGGAGTGGAATGGTGGTGATAGGTGGACACTGATGGTAGGTACGACCCGGTTGGTCGATGGAAGGGATGAATCCAGTTGGTGGCTGGAAGGGAGGAGGTGGGACTGGAAGGGGAGGCAGGGATGGGTGGTAAGGTTATTTGAAATTAGAGAACTCAGTGTTGAGCCCTCTGGGCTGTAGGTTGCTCAGGTGGAAGATAAAGTGTTGTTCTTCAAATTTGTGTTCCGAGTCGCTGCGACACTGGAGGAGGCCGAGGGCGGACATGTCGGAGGGGGAGTGGGGAGGGGGAGTTGAAATGGGCGGTGGCCGGGAAGTGAGGCTGGCTGTTACAGGCCAGGCGGAAATGCTCAGTGTAACAGTCACCTAGTCTACGTTTGGTCTCACCGACGTAGAGAGGACCACACC